CATTCTAAATAAAAGGAGTTCAATACAATTTTTTTTTTTCTATATCCGAATCACATGGATATTACCCAAATATCAGCATCTCCACTTGCCTTGTGGTCCTCTGGAGTGGATGTCAGCACCGCATTCTACTAGAGCTTCAAGCGCAGCTGTGTGACCCGCCAGACTACAGAGATGGAGGGGTCGAAGCCCTGTAAGGATATTGATAAGCAGAATAGTGATAGTGATGGGAGGAAGTGTAGTGATAATGATGGAATGGAAAATAGTGATAGTGATGGGAGGAAGTGTAGTGATAATGATGGGATGGAAAATAGTGACAGTGATGGGAGGAAGTGTAATGATAATGAGGAAGTAGAAAATAGCCATAGTGATGGAAGGGAGAAAAGTGATTGTAATGAAAAAGAGAATGATAATGATGAAATGGAAAATAGTAATAGTAATGGAAAGGGGGCTTCAGTGTGATGTGAAATGATAGTGGAGCGGTTTAGACAGTGTTCAGGGGTTGGCATGCCTACTTGCTTACAGCTGCCACTGCTAGCTCTTCTGGTGTGTGAAACAGGGAGCAGCTCTGCATAAGCCTCGCCTTCCAAATCACTAGCTCTCCCTCATGAAGACTTCTGTAGTGCCTCCTCATGGCAGTGCCTCCTCAAGGAAACTATGTACTATATTATCCTTGACTGAGTTGTGGAGTCCCTCGGAGCAGCAGGAGGCTGTAGAGATACACTAGAGATACACAGCCATGGCCCACCGGCATGTGAACTGCTTACTAGGTTGCCTCGAGATAACCCCGGATGGAGGAGGCCTGTGGGATGACCTAGAAAGTTGCGACTTGGGCAAACCGATCAGACCTGTCGTGAAGAACTAGAGAGGAGCTGAGTCCCAGGCTGGCGGCTCGCTATGTGAGGCCCTCGTATGTGGAAACAAGGGGTGGATGCGGCTATGTGCTCCCGACGGCGTTAGCTTCCTGATAATGGTGAATGGTAAGGAAAATAGTGTTGATGAAATGGATAATCATGACAGAGATGGACAGATGAATAGTGATAACAGCAGAACGGAAAAAAGTGATAGAATAGTGCTAGTCATGAACAAGGGAATGACAATGATTATATTGAACACAGTGATAGTGATTGAAAGAATTGTGATAATAATGAAATCAAATATAGTGATAGTAGGGAGAACAGTGATAATGGTGAAATGGAAAATAGTAATGCAAAAGTAAATGAAAATAGGGATGGAGAATATTGACAGTATTTGATACTTAAATAATGCAATGAAAAACTGAGTAGGAAAATAAAGATAGCAATTAAAAGGCAATGTTGATGAAGTAATGATAATGATGGAAAGGTGAATTAAGAGAATCAGGAGATGGAAAATAATGATAATCGTAAAGAGGAGATCAATGATGGTGATAGAAAAGCGGAAATTAATATAATACCCATGTGCGTGTGTGTACGCGTGCGTGTCCGTGTGCGTGTGTGTGTGTGTGTGTGTGTGTGTGTGTGTGTGTGTGTGTGTGTGTGTGTGTGTATGTGCGCGCGTGTGTGCCCACGCATATATATATATATATATATATATATATATATATATATATATATATATATATATATATATATATATATATATATAAAGAGATCACAGCTGACGTACCTCTTTCTCTCGCTCGCGGGTTTTTAACTTCGAGGTTCGCGCCTTGCTTCGCCAGCCTCTTCACACCCTCCGCGTCTCCCTTCCGCGCCATCATCAGGATCTACAGAATGAACGACATTTTGCATCTTTTCTTTTTCTAAGTATATGATTTCCTGTTTTATTGTAATATCGACCTATCTGAATCGATAAATTGCAGAGTTGCCTATTTTCATGAATGTTTCTTGTCAATGAGCATTGGAACAAGTTTACACACACACACACACACACACACACACACACACACACACACACAGACAAATGTGTGGATGTACAGTTCACTCCCATAAAAGGCTAGATAGTCGGGTAAGGTGAAGAATTTTCCCTTCTTGTCGCGATAGTCAATGAACCCCAAATTGAGTGCAACTATTGGGCAGTTTTAGCGCTACCAGAGATTAGGAATACAATAGTTATTACTTATCTGTCTCGCGAAATTATTTAAAAAATGATCATCCATTATGAACAAACATTTATACGCAGGTAAATCACACGCTTGCACATGCGCGTGTGCGTAAAGGAGAGTAAAAGAGAGAGATCTAGAGTGAGAGGTAAGAATGGAGAGAGAGAGATGTAATATATAAAAAATACATCTAATCTTCAGCATGCATTACTGCATTTTCAGAAAGTCCTTTCTCATACCAAGATTGATATGTTGTTTGGCAATACCTACTTGTTTGACTGAATGTCACTCATAATCAGTCAACTCTTTAGTGAGGATTAAAATGCGTGACCATTACCTTAAGGAAGCGATGGTGCTACAAATATGTACATATACATACATACATATACATATATATATATATATATACATATATACATATATATATATATATATATATATATATATATATATATATATATATATATATATATATATATATATATATATATATATATATATATATATATATATATCCACTCTCACAAAAGGCAGACAATATGTTGTTTCCTTGTCCCGCAGCTTTCGTACCTCAGAGTTCAGGTCGGTGACTGTTCCCTGGGTTTGCACGACTAGAGGCATCTCTTTCTCGAGCTTTGGACGCCCTCTGGCTCTTCGACTGCCCTCTTTATCTTGATTTAGCTGCAGTAATAGACAAATGATAAATCAATACTTTTTCCTAACATTATCATCAGCAGCATTATTAACACTATCTTCGCTCTAATATCATTTTTAATATTTCATCATCTTTATAACCACCATTATTATCAGTATATCATTATAGATATTGCTGAGCTTTTTTATTGTGATGTTTGTATACAATTATTGTTGTTTTTACCTCCATTTATACATAGAGAGAGAGAGAGACAGAGACAAAACAAAGAGAGAGATGAACATAAGAAAGAGAGAAGAAGGAAACAACCAAAAAACAAAGAATCCCCATCACTCACGCCCTCCAGATAAGCAGCGATCTCCTGCTTCTTCTTGTTCCTCGCAAAGTCCAAGGCGGAGGATCCCTTCTTGCTCCTGCAGGAGACGTCCAGCTCCCCTTCCTCCACCAGCCACTTGACGACGTCCAGTTGGGCGTATCTGACGGCGTAGTGCAGGGCCGTGAGCCCCTCATAGGTTACGCCCTTCAGGTTGCACTTGTTCTCTTTCAGGATCTTAAGGATGTGAACCTGGCCTCCCTTGGCGGCGTAATGTACAGCCTGAAAACCTGAGGTATTTGACACTATCACTCGAAAGTTCTTTTCGATGTCTTGCGGTTAAGTTCGTCACTTAAAGCCCATCAGTTATAAAAGGGGTTATACCTTCAGACGTAAAGGGGGAGGGACATTCTTTCGTTAAGGGGGAGGATTTTCAGACGTAAAAGGGGACGAGTAGGGGCCTTCAATACAGGAACTTCAGATAGAAAGAGGAAGGACCTTTAGATGTAATGGGGGAGGACTTTCAGACGTCAAGAGAAGGACCTTCACATGTAAAGGGAAGGACCTTCAAACGTACAGGGAAGGGTTTTCATATGTAAGGAGGAAGGAACTTCATATGTGTGTGTGTGTGTGTGTGGATAACCTATGGTATGACAAGAAATGAATTCATAATGCAAAGAATAATCAAACGTTTAATGATATAGGTATAAGATATAATTGATGAAAATAATAAATACAACTGACTTAAGAATATTATTACATAATGAGAAAAAGACAAAAATGCTCATCTAGAAATGTAACAATAAATTGAAGATAAGAATATACAGTTTATTGTAGATATGTATCTACTGTAAATAAAGAGAATCATGGCAGTTGATAACGTATGTTATGCATATAAGGACGTCTTTGTTAGTCTTTCATTTTGTGTTTTTTTCGCACTTACCTTTAATATTTTTCTCCATACACAGTTTGTCGATGTCGGTGCGTGTCTGTAGTACTCTTCTGACTGCCTGGGTGTCTCCTTCCAAAAGGGCTTTTAAAACGTCATGCTGATAGATGGAAAGAGAAATTCAGAAAGAAAAGAGAGAGGAAGAACAAATGCATGCACCTATACTTCCGCATGTATGTGTGACCTACATATGCGCCCGCATTTTTGTGTGTTTGTGTGTGTGTGTGTGTGTGTATGAGTGTGTGTATGTGTGTGTCTGTATGTATGTGTGTGTATGTATGTATGTATGCGTGTGTGTGTGTGTGTGTGTGCGTGTGTGTGTGTGTATGTGTGTGCGTGTGTGTGTGCGTGCGTGTGTGTGTGCGTGCGTGTGTGTGTGTGTGTGCGCTCGTGTGTGTGTGTGCGTGTGTGTGTGTGTGTGTGTGTGTGTACGCGTGTGCGTGTGTGTGCATGTAAGTGTGTGTATGTGTGTGCGTGTGTGCGTGTGTGTGTGTGTGTGTGTGTGCGTGTGCGTGTGTGTGTGTGCGTGTGCATGTGCGTGCGTGTGTGTGTGTGTGTGCGTGCGTGCGTGTGTGTGTGTGTGTGTGTGTTCACACACACCATGCAGCGCCACCTCCGTTCCCACTAGGCTCCCCGCACTCACGTCCTGCAAGTAGGCGACCACTTCCGCGCTCCCCGCGCGCGCGGCCATGTCCTTCGCCGTGAGCCCGGCCCTCGAGACGCCGGCGGCGTCCAGGCCGCCGAAGCCGACCAGCCACTTGGTCGCTGCCAAGCGGCCGTCCGCGGCGGCGACGTGGAGGGCAGTGAGGCCCTCGGGCGTCGTGGCTTTCAGTATGCATCGCGCTCTGTTCAGCAACCTGAGGACGCTGAGGTGACCGCCCTTGGCAGCGTAGTGGACGGACCGGAAGCCTGTGGAGAAGGGGGGGGGGTCGTGTCACGGAGTCCATGTTATCGCCCGTTCTTGGAGTCTTATATATATGGGGAGTTATCCATGGGTTACCGGTGTGGGTTGTGACCAACGGGTTTCTTTTAGGGGTTTTCAATAATTACTGCTTTCGGGAGTCATCAGAGAGAGAGAGAGAGACAGACGGAGGCAGATGGAGAAGGAGAGAGAGGGAAAGGGAGGGGGAAGTAAAGAGAGAAAGAGGGGACAGGTGTTCAAAACAATGAACACCTTGAATCGCGAGAGAGACAGGAAAGGGGAGGGGGTTGGGTAGAGGAAAGGAGGGATAGTGGGAGGGAGGAAGATAGGGAGAAAGGACAGAAGAGAGAAAGAGAGATCAAGAAAAATAACATATTGAACTAAACAGTGCTATTACCATGGTCCTTATTGTATATGTAGTTGGGATCAAGATTAATACCATCTTTTAACATCTTTTCGAGCGCTTTGACATCTCCCGTGAGCAAAGCATTAGCTAACCGGAACTGAAAGTGGAAATTAACAGTTGAAGTAAAATGCAGTATCTACACCAGTATCTACACAAATAAGGATATTAGTTATCATGAAATAAGATTTATTGGTTGCAAAAACGCAACTTAAACACACAAATCAATTCTTGGAAAAGTGGAAAACGAAATTAAATAAGGAATCATGAACAAAGTCTACACTACGAAACTGGAAGTAAGGGTTAAACAATAAACTTATGTACAGATGTACAAATGAAATTTTGAATAAATAGTAAGTAAAAACACGCTCTTCGCTACTTTTTTTGTTTTGTTTTTTTAGCCCTATTACTTACATGCACTAGATATTTTACAATATCCTTTTTTCGAGCGTCTCTCGCCACCTGCAGCGCGGAGCCTTCCCCCGCCAGGAGCGCGGCGTCGCTGAAGCCCGCCTGTTCCACCAGCCACTTGACGGCGGCCAAGTTGCCGCAGTCGGCCGCCACGTGGAGGGCCGTCTCCCCGGCGTCCGTCAGGGCCCTCAGGTCGACCTTCAGCGCCTGCAGGGCCTTCAGCACCTCGACGTGGCCGCCCTTCGATGCGTAGTGGACGGCGCGGAAACCTTTAAAAATATGTACATATGTATATGTATATATATATATATATATATATATATATATATATATATATATATATATATATATATATATATATATATATATTTTTTTTTTTTTTTTTTTTTTTTTAAGTCTGCGGATTAGACAGATTCAAAGAAGGTATATCTACTGGTAAAAAGAAGCTATTCATAGTTAGTAAATGACTGATATATTTAAGAGAAAGAAAGAAAGTAAAACTGGAAACTCTAAAAAAGATGGTAAGTTATATATTTGTATATATATATTTAGATGAATTCAGATGAAATGCATGTACTTACTCTAATAGAAGTTTGAGTGTTAGTAAATAGTAAAAACGTCAGGATAATATATTTTATCTATCATATCTTCGTCATCTTTTCCGAGTTAAAAAAATAAGCAGCAGAGCCATGTGTATCATATATTAGTAAATACTGAAAAAAATCAAAATATGTTTTAATACTATTGAAGAATTAATCTAATCTTTAGCAAGTTTTTAAAGTATTCACTTATTTCAACATGCTGTAATTACAATGAAGTAATCTACACAATGATGCTTTTGAATATGGTTAACAAACTCCAAAAATATGTTTTTTTACAGTCGTTTACTCTTTATTTCTATAACTCAAGTAACACATTTCCTTCGAATGTTGTTTTTTGATTTCTAGCCTAGAAGTATATATATTTTTCCGCTTATGTTTTTCCTATGGTGCAATTTCCACTTATCCTCCAACACTCTTTTTTTTTTTTTTTTTACTCCTGTACTCTATTATCTACATCTCACTACTCTTCCAATACTGTTACTTAACACATATTCATCTATCATAAAAAGCTACATTCACTTCTTTTTCCGAAACGCATCGCAAATCGAACTTGCTAACCATTACTGTCGTAAAAAAAAAATCAATTTTATCTTTCATTACTTGCCTTCATATACTGTTTTTTGCACTTACCATCCGGTCCCTTCGAGTCAGGGTCTGCACCAGCTCTGACCAAAGCCTGGAGGGTGGAGCCGTGGCCGGACTGAGAAGCCAGATGGACAGGGCGAAGTCCTGTGTGTGAAAAATGACCATTATGACGAGACATTTAGTATAACATGTAAACGTGTCTTTAAGAATTGATAGATAAATTAAGAGGTGGCGTTGGAATATATTACACTCATACAAAACTTAGCTTAGCTTATCATAAATTGAAAGCCATTAATATGTGTCTATGAGTGTGTTTGATTATTTAAGGATTAATGTTAGCTGTAGTCTAATAAGTGTGAGCCCCTTTAATTGCATAAATGGAGGTAGGAAGATGGGTAAGATAGCGAGGGCTTGATTAACACATTAAAAATGAGATATATATGACTATGTGTGGGCATATAAGGTATACACATAAGCATACTATGTATACTGATTCTATGACATCAGTGAGATGTTTTGACAGCATAAAATGTCAGCCGCCAGATGGCTCCCCCTCCCCCCCTCCCCCCAAAAAAGGAATAAA